CAAGGTCGCCCAGCCGCTACGAAGTCAAGCCCGCCGGCCGCCGCAACGTCAAGCCTGCTGGCTGCCCTATTCACCCGTAACCTAAAGAGATGGATGAGGAGAAAAGGATGGCTCACGGCCCTCTTCCTACCCCGAGAGCACCCCCCAGAGCTCGCTCCAGTGTCGGCTCCAGCCCCTGAGTTCGCTCCAGTATCAGCTCTATCCCCTGACCAGAGTCGAGAGATGGCTCTAGCCCCAGACCAGCATCAAGATTGGGCTGCAGTACCCACGTTTAGCCCACGTAGGGCTCCTGTTCCTGAGTTTAGCCCACGGAGGGCTTCTGTTCCTGAGTTTAGCCCACAGAGGGCTCTTATCCCCAAGTTTAGCCAATAGAGGGTCCCAGTCCCCGAGTTTAGTCCAGTGAGGGCTCCTGTCCCCGTGTTTAGCCCACAGAGGGCTCCTGTCTCCGAGTTTAGCCCAGAGAGGGCTCCAGTCCCCGAGTTTAACCCAGAGAAGGCTCCAGTCCCCGAGTTTAGCCCAGAGAGGGCTCCAGTCCCCGAGTTTAGCCCAGAGAAAGCTCCAGTCCCCGAGCAGCTGAGTCCTTAGCCATCTTCAAGAAATGACTAAAAACACATCTGTGTGTGTGTGTGTGTATATATATATATATACACACCTTGCTACGTGTACTGCGTTAGGCTAACCGAGACTTGTCATTTGCACTTATATATTGTTGCTCTTTTGTTAGTTTTGACTGCTTTTATTGTCCTCATTTGTAAGTCGCTTTGGATAAAAGCGTCTGCTAAATGACTAAATGTAAATGTAATGTAATGTAATGTTATCCTAATTTAACACAAGACACATGGTCTAAAATGCATAGCATCAACAACCTTTTACCTAAGTATTTCAAAGAACACTTACAGCAAAGTAATCGTGTTTTTAAAGAATAAATTCGACTAGCCTATGTGCACATGTAGTAGCACAAACAACTATACAGTGTGCCCTATGGGCACAATGCGTTTAACACAATTACATTTTTGAATCGTACCTGACAGCAGAGAGACATACAGCAGCGAGAGTTCTGGTGCTGAGCTCCAGAGACTCTCACACACTGCATGGGGGGTTTCCTGACTACAGAA